GCACACACACCTGTTCTTCTCCAGTTTGTTGTGGACTTCTCTGGTTCCGATCCTGCAACCCAGACAGGAGGCTCAGGGAGGAGGGCCCGATTAGGCGGCCTTCCTGCCCGACCCCCAGCCAAACGGCACGGGCCTTTCCTCCGGACTCTCTCTCAAAGCAGCAGGGGGCGATGTGCACCCCGTGGAGGGCGCATGTGTGCCCATAATTCACAACCCCTTAACCCTCCATCCCGCCTGAGACACAAGGGCTCCTCCGACTCAAAGAGAGAGGGAGTCGACCCCAGCCCTCACCCAGGGGACACTCCTTCCAAAGGCTGCAAATACCATCAGCTCCGGCCTCGGATGGAACCGGAGAGCAGAGGGCAATGCTCATTCCCCTGCCCGAGGGGCCGGCACAGCGAGACTGTGTGAAACTCAGGCGGGCACTTTTCGGTCGGCGAGGTCGGGAGGGCCTGGCTCTGAAGGGCTAGCTTGGGAGGGTACTTTCCCTGGCACACACAGCCCATGGGGGCGGGCAGTTCTCTCCATTCCGCCACCCCCACCTCGGCCACACCTCACTTACCCCCCAGGCCTCTTCTTCTGTTCGCTGGATTTGACTTCTTCCGTTGGTGCCAACTTCAGGGTCCCAAGAGCGGGCGGGGGTGGCTGCTGGGGGGCCAGCTGTGGCTGGACTCCCGGGTGGGGTGCTATGGTCAGGATGGGTGTGGGGAGGGGCTGCAGAGGCTTGGGGCTGCCGGTGGGCTTGGAGTCCGAAAAAGGGCGACAGAGGCAGGGGCGGTGCCTCGATGCGGGGTTCCTCCACAGGCAGGGCATGGGCCAGCCTGGCCAGGCTGCTGGCCTTCTTCTGCTCCTGCTCCCGTTCCAAGCGAAGACGCTCCTGCTCCTCTACGCAGAGGGAACACAAGGATTGTCTCAGCGGGACCAACAGCCCTGGGCTCCAGCTTCACCTGTCCTTCACCGGCAGAGCATACCCCATCCCCTGACCCTGTGCCAGTCAGGGCCCAGTGACACCTCTGCCCAGCTTGAGATGCCACAAATATCCGTCCATACCCAGCTAGGCTCTGGGCTCAGTGCTGGTGGCACAGCTATGAGCAAATGGAACACCCAGTCCCTGCCTTTGGGGAGTCCAAGGCTGGAGGGTGGCGGAAGGGACAAGCAACGGAATCCCGGCCGGGCTAGGAGAGCAGACAGGCCTTGGCGGAGTGGGAGGTGTCAGAGAGGATGCTGGAGGCTTAGCCACTTGAAGGTTGAAAGGTTAGGCAGTTGATGAGCAAGGATCAGGAGCAAAGGGTGATAGATGAGATGGGCAGAGGCCAGTCCATGACAGATCATAGCTTCTGGGCAAGACCTTCAACAGTATTTACCAATAGAAGGCAAGTAGTACCGCCCTGGCTGGTTTGGCTCAGTGGATAGAGCGTCAGCCTGCAGACTGAAGGGTCCCGGGTTCGATTCCAGTGAGGGCACATGCCCGGGTTGGGGACTTGATCTCCAGTAGGGGGGTCGTGCAGGAGGCAGCCTATCAGTGATTCTCATCATAGATGTTTCTCTCTCCCTCTCCCTCTCTGAAAGCAATAATGTATATATATATAAAAGAAAGCAAGGAGTACCTTCATTTCACAGATTGAGATAAATCAGCTCAGAGAGGCAAAGTGATTTGCTGAGGGTCCACAGCAAGTCACAGGTAAAATGGGTCGACCCAGCCAGATCTCTTCGACACAGGGTGGATGCCTGGCACTTACTGTGCCAACATATGCTCACTCGGTGTCTACACACACACCTGGGTCCTCACAAGAGCCCCCAAAACAGGTAGGGCAGGGGCATCACCTTCAGCTCACACATGAGGAAATAGGCTCAGGACTCGGGACTCCTAGGCTATGTCCCAAAGCCTCTGGTTCCCTCAGGGACCCTGCAAAACATAATTGGTCCTTCTCTGGCCTTCGTCTTGCTGAAACTCATTTCCCTCAAATGCCACCCACCTTCCCCAGCAGCATAAACTAGAAAGGTACAAGGCAGGCAGAGAGGAAAGCCGTGGCCTTTTTAATAGAGGTTGAACAAGGCAACGAGTTCAGGCAACACTGCACCATCGTCGAGCACCTCTGCTGAAAGAAAGCCTTGCAGGAAAGGGAGGCCTGTTTAGCAGCTGGCTGGGAACAGGGTTAAGGGGAGCGGCCCCTCCTGCTCCAAAGGCCCCACTCTACCGCCACCCTGCCCCATTTGGGGGCCCTTGGCTACAGAGCTGGGCCAGGGCCCTGGGGAGCGGCTGCAGCCCCCAGGCCAGGGAGCAGACTGGTCAACCTGCCCTCCCTCCTGCCCGGATTCACCACAAAGCAGACTAACCCAGCTGACAGCATGGACACGCCCCAAACAGGCCACCCCACAAGGGGTGGGGCTGAGGGATGAGGTTGGCAAACCACCTCCCTCAGCAGGAGGGCATCAACCCCCACTTGTCTGTCAGGCTCCGGGGCCCCAGAAAACCTTAGAGCTCAGGGCCCTTTAGCCAATCAACAACTTGAGTGAGCCAGCGCCTGCTCGGAGCCCCTCCCCCCGACAAAGAGGCAAAGGAGGAAGTAGAGGGGGAAGTGCTCTGAGAGGGGAAGCACTCAGTGGTTTCCCAGCAGCCAGAGCTCAGGAGCTGGACAGGTCAGCACCGGCCTCTTCCGCGTCTGTCTCCCCTGCCCTTCAGGAAGGGTAGCTGCGGGCCAGAGCAGGCCCATTCTCCCTTGCTCTCCCAGGCCTTTCCAACCAGCACTGACTTACGTTACAGCCCCAGAGAAAACCAGCTCTCTGCTCCAGCTTCCCACAGGAACACACTGGGAGAGTAACCTGCTGAGTTCCAGTTATGGAGCCCTTCTCAGGCCCAGCCTGGGACACCCCTAGTCCACTTCTCTGCACCCATCTTCACCTCTCCCCTCCCCACACTCAAGACAAGAGCCTGGCACTCAGAGCCCAACACAGTCCCCACCTCCATTCCTTCGAACCAGGACCCAAATTTTCATTGGCCTTGGGTTAATATTCCACCGTCCCATATTTAGGGGGAGACAGGGCCCCAATCCCAAGGATAGGTGACCTGGGACCTCAGATTGAAGGCAAACCTCTTATTCCCCATTTTTTAAAGTAACTCCAAAGTTCACCCAGGAGATGGCAACCTCCTCACCGACCCTTCTCTTCAAAAGCCAGGCCGGTCCGCCTCACAGGTGCCAGAAAGGACCCACATGAAAGGCCAAACTCTATCACACCTGGATCAGCACGAAAAACCTTAACTGGTAAAGAACAGGGGACAGCCCAGGCCGGCCCCAGCCCACCACAGCGTCCTGCGCCTCCCCACCACCTCTGCCTCAATCCCAACCCAGCGGCTACCCTCTCCCAGAGCACTGTGGCGGGGAAGACAGTGTAGGGGAAGCAAGCTGGCAGTCCCTTGGGGCCTCCCTCAGGAGCATATAGGTTTAGGCTCTTTAAAATAATGCTCTGCTGCATCCATGAGTGCACTCACTTCTCACTCCCACATACTCTGGTAACTGCCCTGGGCTCTGTCCAGAGGTTGTACCCAACCCCACCCCGGGGAATTTAGCATGACCTCTCTGGGGTGATCCCCAGGGGCCATGGAGTGGACCGGCATTATGCTCCCTTCAGCCATCCCCACTGACTGTGACCCAGGTGCTCAGCTGGCACAGGGCTGCAGCTTGAGACATCCACACCTGGTGACCCCAAATATGCAGGGTCATTCTCCCCTCCTGCATGCTAACAGTGAGCTTGGCACATAAGGCAGGCCCAGGGTGCAACTAGGTCAGAAGCCTTGGACACTTGGCCAGCTTCCTCCAATCAAGGTAGAAAAGGGTCCCCCAATGGAGCCATCTCCATGAGTGCTGGGAAATGACCAAGCCCTCTTGCTAACCACCAAGATGACCTTGCCTTTCCCTCTCCTCTCTCTCACACACACAGGCACACACATCCTCAGGTTCATCATGTAAGCAATCTGGCTGCTCTAGGTCAGGAAACTGGCCCTTGAGGTTAAATGGGGGCATGCAAAAGAGGCTCCCTGTTCAGAGCTGCTCATCAGGTACACAGCTGGGGACAGCAGTTTTGATCAGAAGATTCATGCACCACCCCCTCCTGTCCCATTCTTCCCACTCCCAGTCTGAGGACAGGCCATCAAGGAGAAAATGAACACTGGAGGGTAAATTGCCGTGGCCTGATCTAGCCATCTGTACATGAGTTTTTGGCGTAGACTTGGCTTTCCAGCATCCACCCATCCACTAAGAACCTGCCCCACCAGCAAGCTGTGACTGGGCAGCTGAACTAGGCTTCAACTCACCTCCAGCTCTCACCATGTGGGGGAGAGGGCAGGGCTCTGCAACTTCTTAGGAGAGAACCATTCCCAGGTTCCTTCACAGAGTTGCACACATCCTCCCTGTCCTTACTGGTCAGCTGTGGATTTACTTATTTTGGAAAGGGTGGGCAGACAATAGTGGGGGTCTTCTCCCTTTCCCCATATGACCAACTAGCCTGCAGGTAAAGTAAAGATGAAGTGAGTGTTTCCCTGAGACAAGGTCAGGGTCAATCCCGTTCACCTCTAGCACAGTGCCTGGTACACAATGGGGACACAATAGGTATTCTTGAACTGCATTGTATTGATGGTGGCAGCAGGTGACTCAGTCTCTCCAAATCTTGTGCAAGCTCCTCCCCCTGCTTCTAGGCACGCAGTTCTTGGTCACCACCAACAGGACCACCCCTTGACCCTACTCTGGGCCCCAAAGAAAAGGGGGAGGGGCGTTTGGGTTGATGTCCTAGCCCATCCGTTCTGAAAAACCCAAGCATCTCAGTCTCACATATCTCGAGTGACTTTTGACCTTGAGAGACCGGTGGAGACAACTAGGCCATCCGACCCACCGCTCCCGGTCCCTGGGCGGCTGCGACTCCCCCCCCCTGGGCGGCTGCGGCTCCCCCCGCTGGCCGCAGCATTGGCGGAGCGTCAGCAGGCGCGCGCGCGCGCACACACGCGCACACACAACACACACTACTACCTCCTGCATGACTCATCATTGAAGCAACAATAGGCAGAGAGAAAGGAAAGGAGGGCGAAGCGAAATCTCCACCACCAACAACCCGCCTGAAGGGCTGGGAGGGGGAGGGTTCAGGAGGGCAGGGGTCCCCCGCTGCTGCACACACACCCCGACTGATGAGGGATGAGGCCCTAGGAGCAGCACGAAAAACGGAGGTCTTTCCCCAGCGCCCTTTTCTGCAGCGCCCTGAGGCTAGGGGCCGTCAGCAAGGGCGAGTGGGGATGGGGGGCATCTGAAATCTTCGTCTCTCTCCCCTGGCCAGGAAGCGCCGAAGTTTGCCCCTTCTTCGCCCGGCTCATTCCACAATGTGACCGGGGATGTTGCCAGGAGATCCCGGTGAGAACGTTTCGGGGTCAGTGGGAACGTGTGAGCTCTAAATATCCTGTTGCCCTGCAATTCTAAGGGTTTCCCTCGTCTCAAAAACAGGAGGTTGGGGCGAGAACCGACAGGTAAGCCCGGCTCCTCCTTCGCAGGGAAAAGGCTCTCCCCGAGAGAGATCAGCGCCCAGAGCCAGGGCCCAACCGGGCGCCAGGCCTCCGGCCAGCCCCGCCCAGACCCCGCCTCCGGTCGAGCGCGAGGCAGCGAGGAGGGGCCCGCCCGGCCGCGCCGTCCCTAGCGGGAGTGTCCCCGGTGCACGTGGTCGGGGGCGGGGTCCGTCCACGTCACCAGCCGGTGTAACCAACGGGCTTGGTACGCAGACACACGCAGCATTCCAGCCGAAAGCGGGTATGGAACGCGCAGACACGCCACATTCCACACCGGCTAAAGTGGGGCGCAGAGAGGGGGGCCCGGGGGCTGCCCCCAGCGACCTGCGGGCCGTTTTTCAAACACCCAATCAGCCGGCTCTCACCCAAACCCCTGACGCTAGACCCAGCCCAAGCTCCGGGAGGCGGGGTCAGGCGGGGCTGGCCAGGATCATAAGACACGCGATGTCATTTCATTCTGCAAAGGCCGCCTCCGCCCCAGTGGCGCGTAGATCTGCCAGGAGTGCCCCCCACACCCGCCCCGTAGGGCCAGGGGAGCTGGGGAGTTGCTCCGTGTAGAGTAATTTCTACCCCACACTCCGTTACACACACGCCCACTCGTGTGCACTGTACACTCGCCCATGTACACGTCCGTTCATCTGCTCTCCTCCAGGCTCCCATCACACATCCCCCGTGCACACACGCACGCACACACAGGTCTGCCACCCCCACGCAACACCATTGCTCACCCCACCCCCGGCTCTCACATACTCAAAGCTACCGAGGGTGCCACTGACCCACGCGAAAGGAGCCCTACAAAAGGTGCACAAGGGTGGCAGGCAGCTGGGGTGGCGCTCACAGGAGCCGGGTCCCTCGCTGCATGCTAATGAAGTCATTAATTAATTTCCCTGCCCACAACACTCCTCCCTACCCGGGCGGCGGCTCTTGCGCCGAGCCTTGCACTGCTGGCTTCGCGGGCCGCCCGGGAGAGGGTCTTGTCCGTGGTTTCGGCGTGGGTTCG